TACCCAACCACCCACCAACCCCCTCCTCTCTCTACCCAACCCACCTTCCCCTACCCTACCCATCCTCCTCCCCCTACCCAACCCACCTTGCCCTTACCCTACTCAACCCACCAACCCACCCTCCTCCCCTACCCAACCACCTTCCCCTACCTACCATCCTCCCCCCCTCCCAACCCACCTTCCCTTACCCTCCCCAAACCTACCAACCCACCCACCTTCCCCTCCCACCTGAACCACCAACCCAGTTTCCTTACCAACCCAGCCCACCTTCCCCTACCTACTCAACCCACCAACCCACCCTCCTCCCCTACCAACCCACCTTCCCCTACCCCCACCTACCCACCTCCTCCTACCTCCCCTACACCCACCTTCCTACCCTTTCCTCCTCCCTACCCAACCCACCTTCCCCTTTACCCCCCACCCACCCTCCTCCCCGTGTGTTCTCGATGAGCCTTGGCCTCCCGTTCCTCAGCTGGAGGAGGACCTCGAGCCCGTCTAAGTAACCGAGGTCTGAATCTGGTCGAGGGCGAGGAAGACGAAGAGAATCGTGCCCGTGCGTCCGATGCCGGCGCTGGAGGAGGAGGGGTTGAAGGGGGAGGTTGGAGGATGGAGGTTGAAGGGTGGAGGTTGGAGGATGGAGGTTGAAGGGGGAGGATGAATGGAGGATAAGTTGGAGAGGTTGGGATTGGAGGATGGAGGTTGAAGGGGGAGGTTGGAGGAGGTTGGAGGGAAGGGTTGAAGGGGGGGAGGTTGCAAGGGGAGGTTGGAGGAGGGAGAGGTGGAAGGGGGAGGTTGGAGGGAGGAGGTTTGAAGGGGGAGGTGAGGTGGGTTGAAGGGGAGGGGACGGTGGAGGGAGGAGAGGTGAGGATGGAGGAGGAGGAGGGGAGGAAGTGGAGATGGAGGAGGAGTGGAGGGAGTGGAGGAGGAGGAGGGAGGAGTGGAGGATGGAGGAGGAGGAGTGGGGGGATGAGAGGAGGAGGAGAAGTGGAGGATTGAGGATGGAGTGAGGAAGTGGAGGATGGAGGAGGAGGAGGAGGAAGTGGAGGATGAGGATGGAGGAGAAGTTGGAGGATGGAGGAGGAGGAAAGGGGAGGAGGAGGAGGAGAGAGGAGTAGGGGAGAGGAGGAGGAGGAGGAGGAGGAGGGAGGAGGAGGAGATGGAGGAGGAGGAGGGAGGATGGAGGAGGAGGAGGAAGTGGAGGAGGAGGAGGAGGAGAAGTGGAGGATGGGGAAGGAGGGAGGAGGAGGAAGGATGGAGGAGGAGGAGGTGGAGATGAGGAGGAGGAATTGGAAGGAGGGAGGAGAGAGAAGGGGAGATGGAGGATCGAAGAGAGGGGAGGAGGGGAGGAAGTAACAGGATGATTTTGCGAGGAGGAAGAGAACAAGAAACAGGAGAAGAGGAGGATTAGATGAAAATACAAATAAAATCTTCGAAAAACAACACAAACTTTCTAAAATACAAAATCAAACATTTGAAAAATCCAACAGAGCATACCGTAGGCCTAAAAAAGAAACAACAACAACAACAACAACAATAATAATAACAGTAATAATACCAGCATCTTTTTCTCGCATACGGTGGGCCAAAAAAAAAAAAAAAAAAAAAAAAAAAAAAAAAAAAATATATGATATACTTTTTCTCGCATACCGTAGGCTAAAAAAAATAAATAAATGAGAAAAAAAAAAATAAACTAAATAAAATAAATAAAATGTAATGATGATAATAATAATAATAATAATAATAACGAACAACAATAATACCTGCAATGGACGACTCGTCGGACCTTCAGCCTCTTGTTCCCTAATGGCAGACACCATGAGCGCCAAACCGAAAGGATTGTGAGGGACACCATGATCTGGCCAAGCAATGTACTGGTATTGCGTGACCTACAGAAGCAAGCGGTTGTATGAGTGGGCGTGGTTTGGGATGGCGTGGGCGTTGGTGGGGTGGAGGGTGGGCCGTGGTTGTGGCTGGCGTGGAGTCGATGGGGGGTTGGCGTGGGCGTGGCTGTGGGGCGTTGGGCGTGGTTTGGGGGCGTGGGGTGGTTTGGTGATGGAGTGGGCGTGGTTTGGTGGCCGTGGCCGTGACATGGGTGTGGGTGCTCCTTTGCGTGGGGCGTGGTGTGGGTGGCGTGGCGTGGTTTGGGTGCCCGATAACGCCACACAATAGCTCGTGGCACTGTTTGGGTGGCCTGGCGTGTTGGGGCGTGGGCGTGGTGGTGGGTGGCGTGGGCGTGGTGTGGGTGGGCGTGGGCGTGGTGTGGTGTGGTGGCGTGGACGTGGCGTGGGGGGCGCGTGGGATGTGCACGGTGGCTCCCCGTGGCGTGGTGTGGTGGCGTGGGGCTGTCGGTGTGGGTGGCGGGGCGTGGTTGAAGTGTGGCAGTGGGACCGTGGTGTGTGGTAGCGTCTGGCGCCGTGGTTATGGGTGGCGTGGGCGTGCGTTAGTGGGTTGGCGTGGGCGATGGTTGGGCTGGCGTGGGCGCGCGTGGTGTGACCGGTTC